ATGTACTCTTTGTCATTGAAATAATACTATTTTCTTTACACATCTGATTTTTTCTTTGAGAAAGAACGACTGTTTTCCAGATTTTCAACAATCACCACTACTCCAACTCCTCCACCGACGCGGCGAAGAAGGCCAACCACTCCCAGCAAATACTTTGTTCCTCCTGTATTCGGTATGTTCGAGGTTCTGTTGTATCCATTTCCGATCTGTCATTGTCTGCTTATGTCTAAAACTGTCCAGTGTGGTAAAGTGACGAGAAGCCCTTCCTGAGAAAAATTTTTTATGATGAAGCTAGCTGGACCAATGCCTTGCGTGAGAAGCGCGGACCTTTCTGAAGTCACGGACGCTGTGCTATTTCCACGGCTGGGACGGTTCAGGGTTCACACAACCGTGAAGCCAGCCAATTTTTTCTCATAAACGCCAAATGTCGGCGACTAAATGGACACATGTGTACTGTGACTTTGGTTCCTGGACGTCCACACGAATGAATTCCCTTTAGGGAACCTCAAAGTCAGCAGTAACGACAATTTGTCTGCTCTAGAGGTTAAAATACTGGAATGGTGTTAATACAACAGAGATGCACTGAAGCAATACCTTACCTTCTCCCTACTAAATAAATAAAACTTGCTGGATTTTAGAGGCACACCTAGCATGGTCACGCGCAGGTAAACAAAAAGGGTAAGACAATCAGGGATCCAGCCTGAAGCTCAGAAAAAGAGTTACGTGAGAAAGCTGATCTATTAGATTTGACAGTGCCATATTATTTAATGGAGCTTCTTTATGGTGCGAACCCAGCCAAAGACATTGCGTGCCGAAGCGAGAGGTTTCGGATGATGAGGGAAGTTAGGGACGGGAGTAATGCACCGGGACGAGAGTAAAGCATCGAGGGATAGAGCTATCAAGGGAGAGGGGCCCACCTTCTGAGGACAACATTGTCGTCCAGATCGTTTTCTGCCGCAGTGATGACACATGTTGCCTCTCACTACGCACTTACCATTAGCCAGCAATTCTGGAATTCACAAGAATATCGTGCCTTCAAGACTATAAACGAAGGATCTCTACAGTAAGGTATATACTTGTGTTGAAGGAGAGAATGGTACGCTGCTGTTCGGAAACTTCACAGACGAATGGGGCAACTATACGAACTACACGACCGTCGAGCCCTACACCGGTCCACCCACACTCGGGTACAACAGAAGAGGTTGAATTTTCTTATCATCTTTATCACCTTTTACGTGAATGATGATCTATTTCATGTCAAACCCAATGAAGTTATATTCTGTGATAAGCCTAAATTTACTCTAATCAATTACCCATAGATTCAGTTTTACATGGGCAGTTGAAAGAGATCAATAGAAGTAAATAAGTGAATTTTACTTCTTGAGTTTGATACGACATGTTTCTCAAATATAACTGTGATGAGTTCGCTAAGAGGATTCCCATCAGGAATACATTTCTGAAGTTATCGACACAGAATCTGAGTTTATTGGAAAGGGAAACATGAAAACAATGAAAAAGTGTTTTTGGACCCACTTGCCTCCGTCCCAGCGGGGGGGGGGGGGCGGAGGCAAAGTGCGTCCAAAAACAGCAGTTAACAATCAAAACCAAGTTCTTTTCCGAAGTTTTACTTATACGCAATCTTTAATAGTAATTATAATTATATTAACGTTTGCGATATATACGTGAATTAGTTCATTTTCGCTCAGACACCTTTAAACAACAATTGCGACCCGAAAGCTCAAAATCCTCCTAAAATTCTATCCGATTTTTTTAGAGTGCATGCTTGCCGCTGTAGGGATTCCTGTACTTCATGCTGAATCGCAATATGGAGAGGTGAGATAATTCTTATATTTTATCTGACATAATTTGTGAAGTCGCACAAGCCTAGACTTCCGCTCCAGTATTGACTATCGATCGATAGGTTTCCGGTTTTTGTCTTAATTTTTCCGTTTCTATGGAGAAATGAATGGCCGGTTTAGTTAGAGCTTGGTTAAACGCAGATATTTCCCTCGAGGAAATCAACATTATTTTTATCCAAATTATTTCTTAAAGGAATCCTTCGCGGAAAATTCTTGCGTTTTTTCTCAGCATGAATGTGTCAGCTGTGAACACGTGAAACAGTTCGCCATGAGCGATTCGATTTCCGAAGAGGAACAAACTTGGCAAAAACTACACTTACGGACTATCGAAGGTAAAATGCGCGGAGCCAAAGGCGGGGCATTAAAAGTCCGCACTGGGGCGCCTACGTATCAGGCGACGCAATGAAAGAATCGGGTTAAAGCGCGCGATTTCGGAGAGTAGAGACAAATCGATCGATAGAATAGGATGGAGTAGAAGTGTGAGATGTGAATGCAATAAGCAGAAGGCCAGAAAGAGTTTCTAGTGAAGGCACTCCAAGAACCAAGTGGAAGCATCCCCGTCGCCAGCATTTGTGACAAGATGTCCGGGTACTTTGAACGCGTAGCAGCCCTTTCGGTTTTTCGAATTTTTTTTACCAAAACAAAGCGCATTTTCTGTTCTTTTCATTCTTATCGTGGATGATGAGTCTCAAGCCAGTGATTTATGGCTGAAATAGAATCATGATTTTTCCGTGAAGGATTCCTTTGATAGCAATTAAGTTTGTTTAGCCAGTAAAATAATGCCTCAGAAAATGATTGAGGGATCGAAAAAACAGCGTGGAAGAGACATTAGTAGAAGCTTTTAATTTCCTCCTATAATTTTATATATTTAGACCAGATTGGTCCTCCGGCAACCCGCCGGATCCATCCTTCCTTTCGAAGCTGGCGATTATTCCTCCTCATCATCCTCCCCTCCTCCCCCACTGCTCTCCACCTGCCACTGCGGACCTTGTGAAATGACTGAAAGTGGGCCAGTAGGTGTTTATATAGCGGTTGAGGTATTATCACTCTTGTTGCAATAATACCTCAACACTAAATCGAACCGTACCCTTGAAAGAGGTGCAGCCCTCTCCCCTTCCTATCTCCTCTGCCTATTCGCTTGCTTCCCCCTACCTCCCTTACTCTTTCCTCCCACTTTGCCCTGGCCTCCTCAGCTGCCCACGGCAGCGTCATGACAATCAATGGTGCTGAGCTTACTCGATCGGTGTTTATATATCTGCTGTGGGTGTTATTATGATCATGAAGTCGCGAGGTGTAGCCCTTCGAACTCCCCCTTTTGGTTAGCGGTTGTTCCGGACGGACAGAACGACACACACCGACAAACCGACACACCAAAGTTCTGGTTTATATAATGAAGGACAGTATGTTATTCGTAGACGTGCTATAAAACCATGTGCTATTGATCGAAGTAGGTGAGAGTGGAGTTGGATGTGGCCATTCAATTGGGTGCGTAGCGTTTCTCCTCCTGGGGTCAGGTTTAATTATGTTGTGGCTCTAACGAAGTAGAAAATAAGGCTAACGAAATTTCTGCCAGTGAATCCACCCTCTTTGGTGCTCCTTCCCCACACTATATCTCTCTACTAGGATTAGGCAAAACAACTGGCTCGTGGCTCAGGTTTGTTCCTCCGTGCAACTCAAGGCTGATTCCGCCGTTCCTCATCAACAAGCTTCCCTGAATGGAAGCATAATCAGAACTCTTTCCTTTAGATTCGGTGGGCAGTCTACTGCCCTTCACTCGTGTTCACCCACCTACACCGCAAGCGACTAGAGTGCCGCCTCCAACTTCACTTTCTCACAATAGTCGTGTAGCTATGGCCAGCCAAATGGAGTCGGGTGACTAAAGTTAAGGCTTCACAGTTTCACGTTTATACTCTTTTATCAAAGTGAAACTTAGGATCGTCAGAAATCAACCGTAGGCTTACTTAATTGTGTAGCTTGTAAAAAGGTACTGGGTACACAGAGAGTAAGCATGAGAAACCCCTCACCATCAGGCTGCCGCGCATTCTCTATTGGTCTTTTGTCTGTCTGAGAGGTGCGACGCACCAGCATTCTTGAAACAATTTTCTGTGGAAAAAGTGGAATACGATTGGGTTCAGTTGTATATTTCGAAAGAGGGGCGGGTCTATTGTTTGAATTTGGCAACAGTTAGTTTTGCTTGAATCTCCACTCAGTACTTACCCTTCCACCCTTACTTGACGGCCTTTCTGTCAACAAAAAGTATATGGTTGGTCGTTGATGGTAGAGGCAAGGAAAGGTTTTTGAGGTGGGCAGCAATTCCGTGCAATCCTCTTCACTCACAGGCTTCTTGAATCGCATCGATTTCCTCGGGAAAAGTCTTCCAAGTTAGTTTCACGTTCATTTCGCAATTGAGGTGCACTTTAGGTAGGATCATGGATGCGTGACTCTCACCCGCAATCCGATCATATGGCTCAGAAACGCTGGGTAACCGACGGTTACGCTTCGCCGGTACTCTTATGAGTATGAGAACGAACGGCAAATGATGAATAAGGTGCAAAAGATCAAGTAAGTTTATATCAAACTTTGAGATAAGATGTTACATTCCAGTCGAGGAGGTGGCTGAAAGCTGCACATACATATGCTAATGCTATGTGTGTGAGCGGGATCCTTGACGCCTTGGGCAACGAACCAGCCTCATGCTAAGCGATTTTACGACCCTTCATTTTACGAAACGGCGTGGAAGGGGTTGGAGAGGACTTCTTTATGAGTTTAGGGGGTCACAAGTGATGCAAGGTAGGCCATGTAGTCAAGAGCTATGCTGAGATGTCCTTTCGTTCCATTGGCCCGAGTACGTTCACTCACCTTCTGAATTTCGAGGTCCTGCCCATGTTTGCCTCGATCATAGGCAAGGTGAGCGCGAGAAAAAAATGAATAGCGAGCCTCTCAAAATTTGGACGTGGCTCCGTGGGGTACACGTGCGTTCTCAGCATCGAATCCAGTTCTCATACGAATGTCAATTGATGAAGAGCCGGTTGTATGGGCCAACACTCATGCGATTCAATCTAAATTCAGAATGGACGAAAAGTGCGTGGCCTGACTTGAACACTTGTTCAGTTTTCCTTTCCCACACCGCATTCTTTCGGGAGTTAGGTCTCCTGAGGAGCAGGACTAGGCACCTTTTTTTGCTGCTATGGGGTGCACGTAGCGATATAGCAGGGCCTCACCTGCGGCGACGAAGTTTGAGGCCGTCCACGCCTACCGATTGGCTACCCCTGGTGGTCCCTCACCATCGAAGCCTGGCCATTCAAGCAGTAAAATACAGCCCGTCCAAAACGTCGCCAGCAACGACACTCAGCGCGGAAATTCACTGAGAAATAAGGGTCCCATGAAGTAAGCAAACCAGCCCTTTTGGCGTTTCTGCTGGGGCCGTATGCTGAATGTTGGGGAGGGGATGGGTCCCCGACGGTCGACGGACTACTTCAACTCGGTCCTTAGAACCGCCACAATTTGGTGCTTACCTCAGGAACTAAGCCTTAAAGAGAGGACGGACCTGTCGCGGTCCGTCCCTCTCCAAGGCTTAGTCCTGGGGTGAGCAAACCAGCCCTTCTGGCGGAGCTGCTGGACCAGCTGCACCACTTGCGTCATTACTCTCCTACCGTACCGACCGAGTTGAAGTAGTCCGTCGACCGTCGGGGACCCCATCCCCTCCCCAACATTCAGCATACGGTCCCAGCAGAAACGCCAAAAGGGCTGGTTTGCTTACCTCGGGTCCCATTGGACGAGTTAGAGGCCGTTTCTCAGTTTTTCTTCACTGCTACACCTCTTAGCAGCTCCACTTTCATTCCTGACGGGCGACCAATTTGTCGTCGTGATCTGATCGTGAATTGATTTCAGCTTTGAAACGGGAAACTTATTCCAGGTACTATGTGGATTATTTGGCGTCCGGTACCGGAAACCTCATTTACAACGGTTCATACTACTACCACAAGCACGGAACGACCTCACTTGTTCGGTGCGTCAGGACTGTTACTAGGCTCTTTGGTCTTTCATTCATACCATTCATTTAATATTGGAAGAATATGAGTTTTCAATTCGTGAGTGCGACATTAGAGAATGAAAATTGGTCAAACTTCATGTTATCGGTCATTCTATACCCCCTCCCCCATATTTTATGGGGGGGGGGGATAG